AAAAGAGCCTCCGTACCTGTTAGACACTCTTCCTGTGTCTCCGCCGCCAGCAAAATGTCATCTACATATTGTAACAAAATCAGGTGGGGGTGGAGGGTCCTGAAGGCAGTCAGATCTTGGTGCAGGGCCTCATCAAAGAGGGTGGGGCTGTTCTTGAATCCCTGTGGCAGCCGTGTCCAAGTAAGCTGACCGGAAATCCCCAGATCAGGGTCCTTCCACTCGAAGGCGAACAGGGGCTGACTCTGGTGGTGCAGTTTCAGACAGAAGAAGGCATCTTTCAGGTTCAACACAGTATACCAGGTGTGGCTAGGAGGCAGAGTGCTCAACAAGTTATAAGGATTGGGGACTGTGGGATGGATGTCCTCCACCCGTTTGTTTATTTCTCTCAAGTCCTGTACCGGCCTATAGTCCCCGCTCCCAGGTTTCTTGACAGGCAGCAGGGGGGTGTTCCAGGCCGACCGACATGGGATTAATATCCCTTGTTCTAATAGTCTTTTGATATGCGGCCTAATTCCTTGGCGAGCCTCGGTCGCCATGGGATATTGTTTGACAGCTACTGGGGCCGCGGTGGCCTTCAGTTCAATGATTAGGGGTGGCTGATGGATGGCCAGCCCCATTCCTCCTGTTTCTGCCCAAGCGTCTGGATATTTGGACAACCACCGATCCATGCCCTCCTGGACAGGAAGGGGGGCACAATGTAATCTGTATTCATCCTCTAGTCGGAGGGTAAGTACCTGTATCGGTGCTCCTGTGGAATCTGTGATTCTAGCCCCTTTTCTTTCAAAATAAATGTGTGCTCCAAGCTTGGTTAGTAGATCTCTTCCTAACAAAGGGTAGGGACAGTCTGGTACATGTAAAAAGGTATGAGTCACGGTCCCTGAGGCGAGCTGGACTTTCCGGCCTGTAGTCCAGCGGTAACGCTTTGCTCCAGTAGCCCCTTCTACCCATATTGTCTTTTTACTAAGCGGGCCAGTCGTTTGGGTGAGGACGGAATGTTGCGCCCCAGTGTCTACCATGAAGGTGACTGGCTGTCCCCCCACATGAAGAGTTACCCTGGGCTCAGGTGGGGGTTCCTGGCCCCGACCTCCCTAATCGAGGTTGAGGATCTCAGCTTTTTCTTCTTGCTGTTTTTTCTTTTTCTTGGGGCAGTTCTTTACCCAGTGTCCTCTTTCCTTGCAGTAGGCGCACTGGTCTTTTTCTAACCAGACACGCCCTCGATCTCCCCCCCTTTCTATTCTGACTTCATTTTCTTTTCTCACTACTGTGGCCAGGATTCTACTTAATTCTTTATTTCGCTTTCGATCTCTCACTGCCTCTCTATCTTCTGCCTCTCTTTTTTGTCTTTCTTCTTTCTCCTCTGGTGTTTCCCTTTTGTTAAAGATCCTCTCTGCCTCCCTTAAGAGGTCCCTAAGACCTTGCCCCTGTAAATTCTCCATTCTTTGGAGTTTACTCCTAATATCAGGAGCTGATTGCCATATGAAAGACATGGAAACACTTACTTCCTGATCGGGGCTGTCTGGATCAAAGGGAGTGTACCTCCGATATGCCTCTTTAAGTCTTTCTAGAAACACAGTGGGCGGCTCGTCTGCTCCCTGTGTCACTGACCTTACCTTGGCCAAATTGGTGGGGCATCTCCCTGCCCCTTGGAGGCCTGCTACAAGCACCTGGCAATAAAGACGTAGGTGTTCCCTACCTTCAGCCTTGTTGAAATCCCAAGCAGGTCTGGTGAGGGGAAAGGCAGCCTCGATCTCGTTTGGCAGTTGGGTTGGTCTCCCGTCTGCCCCCGGGACATGCTTTCGGGCTTCCAGAATGACTCTCTGCTTTTCCTCCGTAGTTAGGAGGACCTGCAGGAGCTGTTGGCAATCGTCCCACGTGGGTTGGTGGGTAAGGAGGATAGATTCTATCAGGGCTGTTAGGGCCTGCGGGTCTTGGGAAAAGGACGGGTTATGAGTTTTCCAGTTATACAGGTCTGAAGCGGAGAAGGGCCAATACTGTAACTGGTTTCCTTCCCCTCCTGCGAGTCGGAGGGGCAGGATGTGTGAGGAATCTCCTTGTCCTCTCCTGTCTCTGAGTCGCCCCGCGATGGGGGAGGGAGCGACCTCCGGTCCCTCTGCTTGGGCGTCGTCTGGAACAGCCGCAGCGGCCTGCGGAGGAGGGGGGTAGGGAGGGGGATTCTCACTCAGCAGATCAGCAGGAACACTCTCATCAGGGGGTAAAACAGGCTTTGGTTTCACCACAACAGGATACAGGGAGACGGTCGAAGGGTCCGGGTTAGGGGCAGAGGGGAGGGGGATTCTTCGTGAAGGACTGAGAAAAGGAGTCACCCACGGTGGTGGGTCAAGGGAGAGATTTTCCCAAGTGACTATATAGGCCACTTGGTCCGGGTGTCCCATCGGTCCAGGAGAGAAGATTTTTGCTTTGATCTGTAAAATAACATCAGAATCAAATGTCCCATCGTGGGGCCGACCTAAGTTAAAGGTTGGCCATTCTGAGGAACAAAAAGTAATCCATCTATGCTTCTTGATCTCCACAAACTGGTTGTGGGCACGAGTTTTCACCTCCTTCCAATGATCTAAAGTCAAACTCAAAGGGGTAGTTAATCCTTGTCCCATTTCAAAGCTTTGGTTCAAACAACGATCAACAATGAACAACAGACTCTACTGACACACAGACAGACACGCAGCGCGAAGAGGAGAATTTCAGATACTGATGGCAGGGAGGTGCCCCTGCCCAGATTAGACCCACAAAAAACTACAGAGGGGGTCTCACTGATCCTGGAGCATCCCCCAGGTCAGTAGGCAAAGCTCATGGACTCGTCAGTCCAGCACTTGCACTGCCCAGAAGTTCCGAAGGGGTCCCACAGATGCTGCGCGAACCACGAGCAAACAAGTACACAGACAACAGTTAGCCAGCCGACTCACCTCCCCGCAAGGCTCGAGTTGCCCCGGTGGTCCCCTCTTGTCCAACAGATCTCAGTGGAACCTCCAAATGTAAGAGTGAAACCACTGAGGACAAGTAAGCCTTGGTCATAGCAAAGCAGGAGTGTTCTTACTATAGGTCTCAGATGTTATCTGATGACATTCTTAGCTTTTGGATTGGTGAGAGCTGGTGGTCTGCTGTTAATACATTCTAAAAGATTTTTATCTGTTAGTTACAGTGTAAGAGTGAAACCACTGAGGACAAGTCAGCCTTCGGGTTGCAACAGCAAGAGGTTTATTTAGTACACAGGTACCTGTGGGCACAAAGTCTCCTCGGAGGACTTGCGTGCCCCCATGCTGGGTTTTGGCACTTTTATAGAGCAGAAGCGGGGTACAGAAGCAGAAGCATGGTTATTGGCCCATTCAAACGAGTATAAAGCATGAGGAAGTTAAGTTGCTAAATTCTGGGTGGGTGACTTATGGTACAGATGTTATTTCCTGATTTCCTGGTATCGAGCCCTGGGGATTGCCAGATGCAGATGGCTTGACCACTACGTCCTGTTTTTCTGATAAGCTAGTTTCTCAATGCTTGACCTCTTGTCAGGCATTCCTATCAGGTGGCCTCATGGCGCCTAGGTTTTTTCAATACATACACAAAATTCAATGTAATTTAAAAACCTACAATGCTAAGAGAAATTAAAGAAGTAGAAAAGTGTTTGATATTTGTGGGCAAAAACTAAATATTATTAAAGTATCAGCTCTTCCCAAAATTGCTCTACATATTCAATGCTGTTCCTGTTAAATTCTCACCATGTTTTTAATGAGCATCAAGCTGATTCGACAGCTCATACAGAGAGGAAAAAGACTTTTCTTTTGCCCAAATAACTTTTTGGGGGAGGGGTGGAGTTGAGACAGGGTGTCCCTATAGCCCCAGCTGGCCAGGAACTCACTATGTAGACCAGGTTGACCTCAATCTCACAGAGATCTGCTTGCTTCTGCCTTCTGAGTGCCAGGGTTAAAGGTGTACAACCACTCCCCGCTTGCTAAAAAAAACTTTAAAAACAAAGAGGAAAACAACTGAAAAAGTTACATACCTGCATTAATCACGACAGGGAGTGGAGTTCAGTTGGTGAAGTGCTTGCCTAGCATGCCTGATGCCCTGGGTTTCTTACTCAGCACTGCATAAACCAGGCATGGTGACCAAAGCCTGTAACCCCAGTACTTGGAAGGTAGAGGCAGGAGGATTAGAATTTCAAGGCCATCCTTGTCTACATTGTTTGAGGCCAGCCTTGGACACATGAAATGTTGCTTATGGCTCCAGAGAAATGCCCAGGTCCTGGAGTTCAGGGACAGGAAGGGATGCCCCAGAGCAGTGGAAGAAAAAGCAGTCAGTTTGTACCCAATAAGGTGTTACTTAGGCACTTGTTTTCTGGACAAAACCCCCCAGAGAACAGAGCAAATGGAAATGTTGTGATAACACAGTTCTCCCCTTAATTTCTTGCTGCCGGAATTACTGGCCAGTAATTACCTAGCAAATTAGAGAATCTACCAAGACCCCAGTTAGGTACCTGAGGACATAATTGGTCCCTAATTAGAAAAAGTTGTCAAACGGGAACAATTATCTCTGTTCTTTCTTTCATTTCCTCCCTTCATCAAGCCAAATCTCCCTGCTTCCAATCCCCCATTAGACCTTCCTGCTACCCCACTAGGGGAGGGGAGCTTGGCAGAGGCCTTTGATGGTCACCATCACTAGTATGTGCTCCCAAGATGGGCCTCTGCTCCCAGGAACCTTGTACATGGCTTGTGTTTGCCTGGGGGCCTTTTAGGAAGCGGGACACAGGACACTTCTGTACCTCCGTGCCTAGACCTGGGCCCTGAATCCAGAAAATGCTTAGATGGTTGAGCTGAAAGGATGACTCCAGACCTGAGTGAATGCACAGAGAGGAGGACTGCCTGTGTGTCGCTTGTGTGCCACACAGGCAGGTACCAGAGTGGCTGTTCTGCCCACCCAGCCAGGGAAGGCAGCAGCACACATGATCTCCAGACCCCTGTATTCTGTATTGCTATGAAACTGGGGACAGCTAACATTTGGTTCGAGAAATGTGGAGTTAAGAGGAAAAGCCACAGGGCAGGGGATGTAGCTCAGTGGATAGAGTACTTACTTGCCTAGCATGCAGGAAACCCTGGGTTCCATTCCCAGCACTGCTCAAACCAGCTGTGGTGGTGTCGCTCACCTGCAATTCCAATACTTGGGAGGTGGAGACAGGAGGATCAGGAGTTCAAAGTTGTCCTCTGTAATATAGTGAGTTTGTGGTCAGACTGGGTTATAAGAGATGAGACTTTAAAAAAAAAAAAACAACAACAAAAGACAAATGGACAGTGAGGGACTGGCTCTGGCTGATTATTGGGAGCATACAGGAAAGCAGTGAAAATCAAGGCTGAGCACTTTCAGGGACTGTGTAGCCCCCTCCTCCCCAAAGGGGTTCTCCTCGGGAGGGCAGGGCAGCCAGCTAGCTAGGAAAAGTTGCTTCAGGGTTGAACCAGGCTGCCAGGGATGACACCAAATGGCTCCCAGAAGACGATGAAGGCTGAGGGGGTCTGGGAATAGTAGATCACAGCAAATGGTGTGTGCTTTGTTTTTGTCAAACCCAGCAGACATCATCCACAATGCACTTCAAAGTCATATATTTGATGACATCCACCATGGAGTAGGGAGGACAGAGTGGGGAAACATTATGGTGCATGGAAGACACAGCCACAAAAGACTACCAAGTCCTGTGAATTACACAGACCATAGCACCTGCCTAGGGTCTGCAAGGGTAGGGAGTGATGGCTGATGGGTCTAGGGTTTTGCGTAGGGGTGATGAAACATTCTATTCTTGCCTGGGAGCTGAACCAGAAGAGAAGAGACAGTGTGTGACACATTTGACCCTAGAGCCTTCTTTGTCCAAGCTGGGGACCTAACCACCCAGCATGGCACAGGCTGCTCTTGCCTGCAATCTCCAGACAGCAGGCGGGTACCCAGGATTGCTCTGTACCCAGCCACCAGGTCTGGGCTGAGTAACAGCAGGCAGCCAGGTACCCAGACAAGAAGTCACCATGGAGAGCACAGCAAAGCTGGGGCCAGAAATTCACCAGAGTGTTCTGCTCAGTTCCCCTGGCCTTCCGTTGCTCCATCCCCAAGGCTGAGAACCAAGTCCCCAAAAAAGAGACAGAAAGAGGTCCTGAAGATGGAGCTCAAATGGTAACCTACTTGCCTAGCATGCATGCGGGCGCCGGGTTCCATCCCCAACACCACATAAAACAGAAGTGGTGATGCCTGCCTGGAACCTCAGTGCTCGGGCAGTGGAGGCAGGAGAAGCAGAATTTCAAGTTCAGGGGAGATCTCTGGGAGATGACTCTGGATAAAGTGCTTGCCAAACAAGCATCAGGATCAGAATAATTTAGATCCCCAGAACTCATGGTAAAACTAGACAGAGATAGGAATTGAACTGGTTGTCTAGTCTAGCAGGTTGGTGAGCTCTAGGTTCAACCGAAAGACCCTATCTCAATACATAAAATAGAGAGCGATCAAGGAAGGCATGTGACATCAACTTCGGGCCTCCACAGGTACTTACACACCACAAACACACACATGGGAACATGCATACACACAAGCACACACATCATATACACATGCACACAAAAAGACAGAGAAGTTCAAGGACATCCTTGGCTATCTAGCATATTTGGGGACAGTCTGGAATATATGAAACCAGGTCTCAAAAAAGAAAAGAGACTAGGGTGTTCCCTCTCATTTCCTTTGTACCCAGAGCTCTAATTTTATTACATTTATTTTGCGTGTGCTTGGGAACATGCCACAGTACATAGGTGGAGGTGCTTTTCTCCTTTCACCATGTGGGATCTGGAGAGTGAATTCAGCAAGCGCCTTTACTTGCTGAGCCATCTCCCCATCCCCACACTCCACATTCTAGATGCCTGGTCTTATTTTAAGCCTCTCTACAGGTTGTGTCTGTTTGCTTAGTCCACAGATACTGTCTCAACAAATACTAAGTGCCAGGTACTGGGGACTGGGCAGCCAAGTGCCCACCCATGTGTTTTCATCTCAGCTGGGTGACCCGCCACACGTAAGTAAATAAATGAGAAAGACAGGCCACAGGAAGTGCGGACTGTTCTACGGGGTGGGGTGGGGGTCACAGGAGGCCTCTCTGATTGAGGTGGTACTTATTTGGGAGAGATCTGAGTGAGGGAAGGGTGCTGTCCACATAGAGCACAACAAGGACTAAGTGCTGAGGATCATGTCTGGTTCCTTGTGTGAGCTCTCTGTGATTTAGACTGTCATAACAGGTCTTGGGTTCTGATAGTCCTGAGGTTGGATCCTAGGTCCATCACTTAAATGGCTGTGTGACCTTGAATGAATTACTTAACCGCTGTGGGTCCCCATTTTCTCACCTTCCATAGGGGAGTAACTGACACGTTATCCTTAGGCAGGTTTAGAGAATGGGGTGCAGTGACTTAAGGACACCCTCCCATGGGAGTTGAGCAGGGTACAATCACAAATCATGGTGGTAGTGGTAGGGAGCTTCAGGGGGCCCTAGTGTCTCCATGACCAAGGTCAGTGGGGGAGGGGTATGGGGTCCGGTAAATCACTGATCCCAGAACTGGAAGGGTCACAAGAGGAAGTGGGGTCTCCCCATCTTTCCTTGTCCTTCCCAGCACCCACGGTGGAGTCCCCCTTCCACAAGCTTCCAGCACGAGGGTCTTCCAAGGCTTCTCTAAAGAGGGGACTAATTAAACCTGAATTGACACAGCACTAATTAACTTCTTAATTACATGGAACCACATGATTAGAGACGCAGCAGACACTAATTGTTCATTAGGAAGAGGCCCCTCCCCCCTCACCTTTCCCAGGCCCTCTCTGCCCATGGCAGACCACCGCAGCAGCCCCACCCTCAGAGAAATCAGCCAGAATGGTCACACTCTCCCATTTGGGAGCCTGGAGCCCTTCCCTGATGATA